GGTAGGGCACTTAATGAAAGTGCTGTGCGACATAAATATTAACGATATAAATACAGTTGAAGACCAGCAACAACAAAACTTGACAGAAATTGGAAAATTTGATTCAGTTAAATTTAAGAGTTTGAGAATAGCTGATGAGTTGTTGCGTTGTCTTATGACTCACAGCGCGCTGAAAAGGTTAAGGTGTGGTGTGTTGTGGTCTATGATTTGGGCTTGAAGACATTAAGTAGTATTTTTGAGCAGTTTTAGGAATTTATATTCGAATTATTCTGATTTTACTATTTTAATTTATGATTCGTTCTGGTAAATAAATCGAACAAAATCCCGATTCATACGAAGAAAAAATTCTTGAAATCATTTAAACTCTCCTTCTGTTCATAATTTTTGCACTCCGGCACATCGATTTGCATTTTAGATTCTACTAATCAACTCAGATTGGTCTATTAAATTGTACATCTTCGGCGAATCCTAATAAATGCTTTCGTGAATTGAATTCATAGCGAAACGGAAACCTCAGAGGTGTGTCTTTATGTCGTTAGAAACTTACAATGTTAGTCGGAATATCGGCATCAATGTAGAGTTGAGTAGACTTGGTTGAGCCTCGCTCCTCCGCTGTATGCGGAAGGATCCAAGCTCATCTTTCTTTTGACTACATGTTTCGAAGACAAAAAGTATCAGCTTAAATACGCTGCGAATGCTTGGAAAGAACGTACATCACAAATAATGCTGCTCGAAAAAAGTTATGGTACTCAAATGGTAAACCATATTTATGGAAACATATTACTACTACTCATATTGTGGCCTTTGTTAAATAGTCCCAAGAGCTCTTGACCTCTCTCTCTCTCTCTTTCTCTCTCTCTATTTATCAGTTATCTGTAGTTCACGTAGTAGTCAGAAATTCTCTCTTCTCTATATCCAAGCACTTTCTCGTACATTTTCCAACCTTTACAAGACTGAGGTTGAAACGCCTCGGCAGTCTTACGTCCGATGAAGTAGAAGACGTAGCAGAAACTGATATTTGGCGTCTCAACAAATTTGTGATAGAGTTAAAGCGATTTGCCGAGTCATGTAACCCTTTTGTGATCAAATTTAAAAGAGTTCTAGATTCGTGAGCGCCTTTATGATAAATTTTATAGGAGCTCTAGTTAACGCATTGGACCGGCGTTATAAATTGTCCAATTGAGGTGCCTTTTGAGATCGACCGCATAACATAACCTAATCTAAGATACCCAAAGAAAGTTTTTATTTTGACTTTCAGGGTTGGACTGGGGTTAGATCTTTAGTCTATGGAGCCCCAAATCTATTTAACTCTTTATCAATTATTCTTAGTACATAGAATATGCAGTGTTTATGTTTATCTCTACTTCTTAATTTCGTTCAATAATGTTGTCGCTCAGCAATCGCTAAGCCCAGAGTGAGATCATTCCACATATCGTCACCTAAAAGGGAGAAAATAATACCACTTTTCATAAGTTTGCAGGCGAATAAATAACATTATGTCGTTACCATTCATATGGAAACACAATTTTGAGTTTTGGGTATAAAGTGGTTATATATCGGTTATACATTGGTTATATCAGTTAGCGGAAGCATAAAATTTTATGCATACACATATCACTTTTCGTAAGTTTGCAGGCGCAGAAAAAACGGTATAATAGAAAAAGGTATAAAAAGATATAAAAGATATTTCTCTTTTATTAAAACAAAATTTTTAGTTTTGGTTATAAAGTGGTTATGTATTAGTTATATCTAATAGCGGAAGCTTAAAATTTTATGCATACATATACATAATAAGATGTAAAGAATCGTAAGCAATCAAAAGCTCAATTTTGACTTTATTGCTTCCGTCTTTTTGTGTTTTGGGTGACAATATATTGTGTAAAACTTTTTCTGGATATTTCTACCACAGAGTGTTATTCTAGATTCGCCATAGAATACATACCCCGCCTGAGAGCTGAAAAATAAACTTCATCGAATAATTAACAAAAAAAAAAAAAAAAAAAAAAAAATTAGTAGAGGAAAGAAACTCTTCAAGTATTATTAAGAATCTATGTTTGTTGGGAAGTTATTAGATTATAGATTTGGTTTTAATCTAAAATGAATGCTTCCCAACTATAACTTTTATGAACCCTCCGAACTTCCAAAAGAAATATATTTATGTTATTGATACATGAAATCAATATGTCTTTAAGTTATTGCTCCCGATGTGTGCGTCTGCCAGTCACTTGTACATAAGAGTTAACAAAGAGGTTGCGAATTCAAAACCCACTCAGCGGCGATAATGTAACCGGCAGACAAATTAGATTAAGACTTCATTTCAGTGATACGAAAACAGCCAGCGAAATCAGCGGCAGAAAAGTCACTCAAGGAAAATGACTGCTAAAGCTATTAAGAGCGGTGGAAATCGCGGGAGCTTGTGTGTTTGTGTGTGTGATATATTTGAAGAAGGTGACAGTCACCCCCGCTGTCACTGATGAGCTGTACCACTCAGCTATATTATACATACTATATAAGAAATTGCTGCCTGCGGCGCGCTGCCAATTTGCGCTGTTTGACACGTCAAATATATGAAGTTGTAAATATGCAAGTGCCTGTGTGTGTGTGTGTGTGTGTGAGTGTGCACAAATCATCGATAAATAATTTATAAACACGTCTTAGGGCGCGCCACGGTTATTTGCACGCAACCACAATCAATGACTCGTTGGCACGTTGTCTGCATGTAAAATGAGTTGACTCGCTGATTGCACGCCTAAATGTATGTTTCGTCAGGCAGAAAAAGTGTAAGGAAATATATCAAAGTCATAGTCGTATGATTTATGTGAGCAATCAGCTGTGCAGTGAGATTAAATATGAGAGCGAGTAATGAAATTGAGGCAGGAAATGGTGTAGAAATAGTAAGGCGTATTATGAAGGTGGGAAACAGCATACAAGGAGCGCAATAAAAAATCTATGTATTTTTTTATTACTGCAAATATAAGTGTTTTTGTATGTAGATTAACAGCGCCGAAAATTTGAATACTTTTAGCTTATTTGACAGATCAGAATAAATTCTATGAAGTTGCTTTAATAGAAAAAATAAAGGTCGAAACGTTTTTTGTTGCAAAAATGTGCACATTTAAGGCTCTTTTGAACATTTAAACTAAATATTTTTTCTTTTGAAAACATTTTTTTGAATATTTAATTAAAAGGTTTTATTGTCCAAACACTATTAGCTAAGATATTCTGAAATTTTTAAAATATTTTAAAACTCCTCACAGGATCAGCTAAAGTGAAAAATTGCGTGCTTTAGTTAAAGCCTTAACTTAGGACTTGGACGGAGATAAAAATAATTAAAATTAGAATTTTGATAGACATTTTTTCAAAACAACTAAAATTTCAGTGAAAATCTCAGAACATTTTTTTTTCAAATATTTTTTATTAAAAAAAATCTTCTTTCAAGTCATTGTAGCTCAGAGACCTGTGTAAATTTTCATGAAGTTCGGTTGAGTTGTACTCGATAAATCTTGCCAACCGACTACAAAAACACAGTTTCGAGCGCGCAAGTTTTAAATTAATTAACATAAATTAATCGACAAAAAGTTGAAATCTTAAAATTTCGAAGAAAACAGCTAATAAGAAACAACTTTTAAGTTTAATAAAATATCGATGAAAACAGTTCTAAAAAGCGACTTTTAAGTATAACTAACATTAAATAATCGATAACAAATTTTCGATAAAAGGTTAAATTCACAAAATATCACTGACAACATTTCTAAGAGCATTTTTAAATATAATTGATATTAAATGAACTATCAAATATATCGATAAAAAATTTAATTATCAAAATATCGATGACAATAATTCTAGAAAGCAACTTTTAAATTTAAATAATAATAAATAATCGACAAAATATATCGATAGAAAGTTAAATTCTCAAAATATCGATGAAAACGGTTCTAAAAAGCAACTTTTAAGTATAATTAATTAATCGATAACAAATTTTCGATAAAAGGTTGAAATCACAAAATATCAATGACAACAGTTCTAAGAGCAATTTTTAAATTTAATTGATATTAAATGAACGATCAAATATATCGATAAAAAATTTAATTCTCAAAATATCGATGAAAGTAGTTCTAGAAAGCAACTTTTAAATTTAAATAATAATAAATAATCGACAAAATATATCGATAGAAAGTTAAATTCTCAAAATATCGATGAAAACAGATCTAAAAAGCAAGTTTTGAGTATAATTAACATTAAATAATCAATAAAAAATTTTCGATAAAAGGTTAAAGTCACGAAATATCAATGACAACAGTTCTAGAAAAAAAAATTAAAATTTATTTAACATTAAATAGTCGATCAAATATATCGATAAAAAATTTAATTCTCAAAATATC